AAAGCTGTAGATTTTGATGTTAAGAGAAATCGGATATGATAGTTTAAAGATTGTCAACTTTGCTTTGAAAGTCCTTTTTAAAATGGCAACAATTTACATTTTGTACTAACGACTGATTAAATATAACCAAGCTTTGAGCAACTGGCACCCAACCTTTATCATTCGTAAACACTGAAGATGGTATACTGTGAGAAAAAGCTTCTCTCTAACATCGACGCTTGTTGTTACCATACAGAAACACCACTGCAATAACCAATCTACAGGCAAGTCTCTGTACTCATTGAATATCTATGGGACTCGTGTCATTTCCAGAAATTCTCACTTTCTAAATTTGGAAAAATGAATTGTAGATTTACATTTACAATTTTACCATACATAGACTTTCAAGTTAACCATACATGGACTTTCCAGTTAACCATACATGGACTTTCAAGTTTACCATACATAGACTTTCAAGTTAACCATACACAGACTTTCAAGTTAACCATACATTGATTTTCAAGTTTACCATACATTGACTTTCAAGGTTACCATACACGGACTTTCAAATCAACCATAAATAGATTTCAAGCTTACCATACACATATTTTCAAGTTAACCATACATAGACTTTCAAGTTAACCATACACAGACTTTCAAGTTTACCATACATAGACTTTCAATTTTACCATACAGAGACACTAATGTTACCAAACAGAGACACAAATGTTACCATACATAGACACAAATGTAACCATACAGAGACATTAGTGTTACCATACAGAGACACAAATGTTACCATACAGAGAGACTAATGTTTATCATACGGGGACACAATGCTACCATACAGAGACACAAATGTAACCATACAGAGACATTAGTGTTACCATACAGAGACACAAATGTAACCATACAGAGACATTAGTGTTACCATACAGAGACACAAATGTAACCATACAGAGACATTAGTGTTACCATACAGAGACACAAATGTTACCATACAGAGACACTAATGTCACCATACAGAGACTCAAACGTTATCATACAGAGATACATATGTTACCATACAGAGACACACATGTTGCCATACAGAGACATTAGTGTTACCATACAGAGACACAAATGTAACCATACAGAGACATTAGTGTTACCATACAGAGACACACATGTTGCCATACAGAGACACTAATGTCACCATACAGAGACACAAATCTTACCATACAGAAACACTAATGTCACCACACAGAGACACAAACGTTACTATAGAGACACACTTGTGTTACCATAAATAGACAATAAATTTGTTTGCCATGGAGTCGAGAGCCTAACCGTATCACCTGAATGTTTGTATACTGCTATCTATCTTAGTCATATGTCACAGACACACTACAAAGTTTCCCGTGTATCTATCTTATTCTACCTTTTTGTGTGCTAAAAATAGTTGTCAAGTCATGTCTTTATATAGGTACATTACACATACATCTTAACATAATATATATAATAACACAGACTGTCTCAACGTCAACCGAGAGGATAAAGTTCAAAATCGATACTTATGTCTGAGTCACACTGTAATCCATATCGATCCACAGAAATTCTAGCTCAGCAACAGTATCCCAGGTCAACTGGTACAAAGGTCACAACAACTCAAGTCTACAGCCTTTTTCATTTTTATTTTTATCTTAAAGGGTTCTATCTTAGAAAGAAATGAATATAATAGTTTCTCCTTTAAGGGTTCCTCTAAGTTATATACATAAAGTAATTCCTTCTACAAGTCACTGTGAAATTTAGACACTGTCAATGTGATGTACCAAAAATATCGGAAAAGATCCTCCTGAAATTAATTACAGGTATTACAACGTCTCTATATGACTGGATTGTATAAACACTGTGATGATAAAATACCGAGGACCTACACATTGGTAAGCTACCCATACCAATGATTGTCTCTTTTCGAGTTATCTCCCCCTATACCACAAACGACGTGCTTGTGCTACACACTCTGTTATAGCTGATAGAGTACCGGGTAATTCTGATCCCTTATATCACCACAGTAGTGTTTTATTTCCTGTTAACTACTTTCAAAGTCATTTCAGTTAAGACAAAAATGGTTACAATTATGTGGTGAGTCAGGTATTATACACTATATTTGATATTACAACAGAGAGAACATTTGATTTTTGATGAATTCCATATGTTACCATGATTATTCTTACTTGTATTATTTGATCGTCCTAGATGAGGTCATTCTATCGACCGTTTTTGTATAGCAGGTATGACAGCCGGTCATTACGGCTCGTCTGTTTAATAAGTTTGATGGTATCTCCACGCTAACTGAACAGAATGACAACAAAAGTCACCTGTCTAACACGAACGAGCACGAGACACGTGTTTAACACGAACGATCACGAGACACGTGTTTAATACGAACGAGCACGAGACACGTGTCTAACACAAACCAGCACGAGACACATGTCTAACACAAATTATCATGAGGCACGTGTCTAACACAAACAAGCATCAGACACGAGTCTTATTAAAACGGTGAACCATCAATGGTACGAGTCTGATGAATCTGTAGCAAGGTGTCTGTGATAAGCGTCTGATGAATCTGGTAAGGTGTCAGTGATAAGCGTCTGATGAATCTGTGGTAAGGTGTCAGTGATAAGCGTCTGATGAATCTGTGGTAAGGTGTCAGTGATAAGCGTCTGATGAATCTGGTAAGGTGTCAGTGATAAGCGTCTTATGAATCTGTGGTAAGGTGTCAGTGATAAGCGTCTTATGGATCTGTGGTAATGTGTCAGTGATAAGCGTCTGATGAATCTGTGGTAAGATGTCAGTGATAAGCGTCTGATGAATCTGGTAAGGTGTCAGTGATAAGCGTCTTATGAATCTGTGGTAAGGTGTCAGTGATAAGCGTCTTATGGATCTGTGGTAATGTGTCAGTGATAAGCGTCTGATGAATCTGTGGTAAGATGTCAGTGATAAGCGTCTGATGAATCTGTGGTAAGGTGTCAGTGATAAGCGTCTTATGAATCTGGTAAGGTGTCAGTGATAAGCGTCCTATGAATCTGTGGTAAGGTGTCAGTGATAAGCGTCTTATGGATCTGTGGTAATGTGTCAGTGATAAGCGTCTGATGAATCTGTGGTAAGATGTCAGTTATAAGCGTCTGATGAATCTGTGGTAAGGTGTCAGTGATAAGCGTCTGATGAATCTGGTAAGGTGTCAGTGATAAGCGTCTTATGAATCTGTGGTAAGGTGTCAGTGATAAGCGTCTTATGGATCTGTGGTAATGTGTCAGTGATAAGCGTCTGATGAATCTGTGGTAAGATGTCAGTGATAAGCGTCTGATGAATCTGTGGTAATGTGTCAGTGATAAGCGTCTTATGAATCTGGTAAGGTGTCAGTGATAAGCGTCTGATGAATCTGGTAAGGTGTCAGTGATAAGCGTCTTATGAATCTGGTAAGGTGTCAGTGATAAGCGTCTGATGAATCTGTGGTAAGGTGTCAGTGATAAGCGTCTTATGAATCTGGTAAGGTGTCAGTGATAAGCGTCTTATGAATCTGTGGTAATGTGTCAGTGATAAGCGTCTTATGAATCTGGTAAGGTGTCAGTGATAAGCGTCTTATGAATCTGTGGTAAGGTGTCAGTGATAAGCGTCTGATGAATCTGTGGTAAGGTGTCAGTGATAAGCGTCTTATGAATCTGTGGTAAGGTGTCAGTAGTACGAGTGTGAAGGTTCCATGGTGGGTTGAGTCATTGAGTTGGAAGGATATGTGGAGGCGTGAGTCATTGAGTTTGATGAAGGATATGTGGATGGGTGAGACATTGAGTTTGAAGGATATGTGGAGTCGTGAGTCATTGAGTTTGATGAAGGATATGTGGATGGGTGAGACATTGAGTTGGAAGGATATGTGGAGTCGTGGGTCATTGAGTTTGATGAAGGATATGTGGATGGGTGAGACATTGAGTTGAAAGGATATGTGGAGTCGTGAGTCATTGAGTTGGAAGGATATGTGGAGGCGTGAGTCATTGAGTTTGATGAAGGATATGTGGAGGGGTGAGACATTGAGTTTGAAGGATTTGTGGCAGGGTGAGACATTGAGTTGGAAGGATATGTGAGGGGGTGAGTAATTGAGTTTGAAGGACATGTGGAGGGTTGAGTCAACTCTATGAGTTTGATTATCTTTGATGTACGAGTGTTTCTTGAGTTATACATTGTGACCAGGTCGATAATACATGCAGACGCACACATCTCGTGCTAGACACAAGACGTCATACTATGTATGCATCAATATCGATCCGATTGCAGTCATCAACGATTTGATACCATCACTGTGTGTGTGAAGATGTCTTTAAGTACTGACGATATATAAAACTTATCTAAAACATTAACATTTTTATAATCCATTTTCTCCTCTCACCTCGCCCCTCCATCGTCCTCCCCACCCAGCCATAAAAACAAACGACCTTTATTTCAGTGAGCGTTGTAGCAGTAGCAATGCTAAGCCCCTATAGCTATGACGATGATATGATTCTCTATACACAAACAGTAATTACGATACATAGGGTAAACATCAGTACACTTCAATGGCTTGAAATCCGTCACACAACCAAACCTACACATGTATGAAAAAGTGTGTTAGAATGCAGTAACCGTAACTCTGTCATGACAACAACCGATGAATTTAGCACCTCGTGAATAATTAATTGTAAATACTTGTTTAATGAGTTCTGTAACAGACTCTAATCTCATCCTAGATACTTAAGTATACAAACAAGTAAATGATAAGTATAACATGCTTACACCATAGCAACAAACTGATTTTTGTACGAAAAATATCATTTCAGAAACAATTATAATAGTTACCAGGACAGCATAGTGAAATAAATGTATTTTTGTAAACGATATCGATGATGCGGTACAATTTTGATGTTTTGTTTGTGTAAATTTAAGAGAAAATAGGGCTGTTTTCGTAACCAGCCAATCATACGCCGGCGTTACTGCGGATGAGCGTGAAAGAGTAAAACTTCCATCCTTCTGCCTGTATAAATACCTCCCGCCATATTAACTGAATTTTACCAACAGGCAAGGTTGTATCACCACAAAGTACTACACAATGAGGGAAATAGTTCATGTACAGGCTGGTCAGTGTGGGAACCAAATCGGTGCTAAGGTGAGACAACTTTCATCTGGCATCTATGTTCTAAACATGTCATTATTATAATTACAGTATAACGAAGGGGGACCTTCGGTGTAGCCGCCGAGGAATAACTGGTCCAGATAAATGGGAATACACACGACGTATAAATTATCTCGTTGTGTTTTTTGTCTTACTCGGATAAAATGACAATAGTTTGGTGCAGGTTTTATATGAAGTTGTGTATGTGTGACCAAACTACACGTGGTGGGGTTGCGTGCAAAACGGTTACAGCGCGCGGCGTCCATCTGGACATAATTTGGGTAAAAATCACGCGGTGCTCGCTTTTTTTCCGGGTTTAAGACTTTCAGTTACATGTTACATTACTACCGTTTTTGTTTTGGATGTATACAGTCTTTGTCAACTCGGCTCCACAAATATGACTTCTGCATGTTTGAAATTTCGTGTGCCCATTGGCGCCCCTCACACATCATACGATACTTCCACTAAACTTCCTGTAGGCGTATACGTGTGTACCGTCGGCAAGCTTATGTATTTTCTGGGTAAAACGTCCTTATGGAGCGATTATCATAGATAGACTTTCCTGTCAATGTCCGAGAACTTTAATTTTGTGACCTACAGTCAAATTTAATTTGCAAGGCACTACTTTTTTCAGCGAGGGTCTTAGTCATTGGGCGGCAGCTGTGCGCCGCATGAATCAGTAGGGATATTCCGCGCCTATACGTTATGATGGAGCACATGTGTGTGAATGAATGTGTATAGTAATCATCCCTAGAGCTATCCTTTGTCACGAGATTTTAACTACCGTAACTGCCCTAATCGTAGGCCAGGTCATGTGCTGGTACCAGCCGGCGGATTTTAAATTACTCGTGTGCTATTAATGTTAGTACTGTATTTTACATAAAAATACCGACCTCACTGTTTTAGATATGTTTATTCTCGGGTGGTTTGGTTGGTAAAGTTTAGAAATATGTGTTCAAGTAATTTTTCAAATGTATAACACAGTTTGCTATAAACGCTGCCAATTAAATAGGTGGACATGTATTCTTGGTTTCCCCACGTGGTCTGAAATCCATTGATAAGTAAACCGAACAACCGAAAATATGTTCCATAGTTCTGTGGTTGTGGACAGCATAGCTGTTGTATCCCCTCATTATCATTGGTTTTGAGGCAACACGTACCTGACTGCTGGTGAGGGGCCATATTTAGGTCACACACACTGTTAAGGGGCTCCATTTAAATGCTTGACTGCGTGATCTTGTAGGTCAACGGCTGTTTCTACAAACTAGCGCCGTATGTGTGGTGTTCTGTTGTACCAGGGACGTCCCTGGTTGTACGATACAAAATTACCACTTACGAAAAATTATACTTTCAACATAAAATTATCACACACCTGAACATGCCTTTGCGTTTTATGGTTGATGTACTTTATGTGACCAGACAGACCTGTTTTCGGTATATATGTTTATATTCATGTTTGTATGTTTATGTCATACAGTTAAGTTTGATTGCATCTATATGAAATGGTTCTTGATTAATGCAAAATTTATCAATTAAAGTGATAACATATCTATGACAAGTATTTAGTTTTTAAAACTTTCTCATGGGGTATGTCGGTGTACCGATACATGTTAATCATTCAAATTTCAGTTCTGGGAGGTTATTTCTGATGAGCATGGAATTGACCCCACCGGTACATACCACGGAGATTCTGACCTTCAGTTAGAGAGGATCAACGTGTACTACAATGAAGCCACAGGTTAGTTGTATAATCAAATGCAGTCAATACTATTTTCATTTCCAAATGTTTGTAAAGTGAGAATCGCGAGGTTTTACTTCAAGTACCTGAGTATTGTCGTAAGCGGTATTACCAAACGATTAAAATTTACCATTAGTGAGAGCTATTGTGTCGACGTGTTTAAATAGTACCTCATTGTTGTGTTACATACGATGTGTTCATAATGCACCTACACCTAAGTCAACTGAAATACAGACTACACTGTTGCGAACGTGTTCTACTAATAGTCATGTAATATTGATTTCTGTCGGGCTGGGCTTCCTTACCACTGTAGAGAATGCTGCTTCAAAACTATATATTCAAATACCACATCCCTGCAGCCTGCGGACGTACTGCATCAGTATCATTATGATTTGTGTCAGTGTTGCCCCCTGTAATTCCTACACAAGACCTAGACATTTGTGTCTGTGTTGTCCCCTGTAATTCCTACACAAGACCTAGACATTTGTGTCTGTGTTGTCCCCTGTAATTCCTACACAAGACCTAGACATTTGTGTCTGTGTTGTCCCCTGTAATTCCTACACAAGACCTAGAACATTAGTGTCTGTGTTGTCCCCTGTTATTCCTACACAAGACCTAGACATTTGTGTCTGTGTTGTCCCCTGTAATTCCTACACAAGACCTAGACATTCCTACACAAGACCTAGACATTATGTCTGTGTTGTCCCCTGTAATTCCTACACAAGACCTAGACATTTGTGTCTGTGTTGTCCCATGTAATTCCTACACAAGACCTAGACATTTGTGTCTGTGTTGTCCCCTGTAATTCCTACACAAGACCTAGACATTTGTGTCTGTGTTGTCCCCTGTAATTCCTACACAAGACCTAGACATTTGTGTCTGTGTTGTCCCCTGTAATTCCTACACAAGACCTAGACATTTGTGTCAATGTTGTCCCCTGTAATTCCTACACAAGACCTAGACATTTGTGTCTGTGTTGTCCCCTGTAATTCCTACACAAGACCTAGACATTTGTGTCTGTGTTGCCTACACCCTAGACATTTGTGTAATTCCTACACAAGACCTAGACATTTGTGTCAATGTTGTCCCCTGTAATTCCTACACAAGACCTAGACATTTGTGTCTGTGTTGTCCCCTGTAATTCCTACACAAGACCTAGACATTTGTGTCTGTATTGTCCCCTGTAATCCCTACACAAGACCAAGACATTTGTGTCTGTGTTGTCCCCTGTAATTCCTACACAAGAACAAGACATTTGTGTCTGTGGTGCCCCCTGTAATTCCTACACAAGACCTAGACATTTGTGTCTGTGTTGTCCCCTGTAATTCCTACACAAGACCTAGACATTAGTGTCTGTGTTGTCCCCTGTAATTCCTACACAAGACCTAGACATTTGCGTCTATGTTGTTCCCTGTTATTCCTGCAAAAGACACTTATTTAGACCGAAGTGTGATGTCAAAGCAATATTATAATTCACCATTTGTATTTTTCTCATTTTTAGGAGGCAAATATGTTCCCCGAGCTGTCTTGGTTGATCTGGAGCCCGGAACCATGGACTCCGTCAGATCTGGTCCCTTTGGACAAATCTTCAGACCAGACAACTTTGTGTTCGGACAGAGCGGTGCTGGAAACAACTGGGCTAAGGGACATTACACAGAAGGTGCTGAACTTGTAGACTCTGTTCTTGATGTAGTTCGTAAAGAATCAGAGAGCTGTGATTGTCTTCAGGGATTCCAGCTTACACATTCTCTTGGTGGCGGTACCGGCTCTGGCATGGGAACACTCCTCATCTCCAAAATCCGTGAAGAATACCCCGACAGGATCATGAACTCCTTCTCTGTTGTACCATCACCCAAGGTAAGTTAATGTCCAGTGTGAGGAACAGAATGACTATTGAAAAACAAAAGTAGTTCTTATAACACAACCAGTAAAAGATTAGAGTGTGACGTTACGATGACTTCACGGGCACCTTAAAGTTCTTATAACACAACCAGTATAAAATCAGAGTGTGGCGTTTCCATGACTTCAAGGTCACCTTTTAGTTATTATAACACAACCAGTGGAAGATTAGAGTGTGACGTTTCCATGACTACACGGACCTGTCTATTAAATCCATCTGTTGTATAAAGGCCTCTTTTCTGGTTCTTTATATAATGTAATTCATGGTAATTGAACCTCTATATAAAGGCTACCTGTGTATAAAGGCCTCTTTTCTAGTTCTTTATATAATGTAATTCATGGTAATTGAACCTCTATATAAAGGCCACCTTTATATATAGGCCTTTTTTCTCTGCTCCCTTGAATGGCCTCTATAGACAAGTTCGTCTGTACAGTCAATTTATCAATTTAGTATTCAGATATATACATACGTAGAATAAGACATTTTGAATTTTAAATCGTATTCTCTGCTTTCATAACTCTCCAAAAAACAGTTGAGATTCTCAACACAGTAAAATCTATACTTACTTTCTAGCTGATTAGAGATAGGTTCCGAGCCGAGGAATGATGTATAGTGGTGTTTTTATTGACAAGGTTGTTCCTGATTCTGATACACAGAATTTGCGTCTCATGTAGACTTAGAACTGGCAAACATTTATACTCTTTCCTCGTAGTACAATTTAACAGTTCAAACCGTTATTTTGTTTTATAGATACAAGTCCCTTTTACTGTTTATTTTCGTCAAAACACATCATTGTTATTCCTTGTTGGATACTCTACCTGATAAAAAAAACATAACAATGTTAATTGCGGTCCGCTATTTTGACCAATTAGAAATTTAGATATAACCATCATATATACCGTGTTTATTTCAATCTTTCAAAAATATCCTGAAACCTGTTGATAACGGTATTTGCAGCTATCTGACAAATGGTGAACTTTTGAGCTATAAATTCCATTTTGGTGGAAAATAAACAGTTTGTTTAGAAACAAAAAAAATTAATGTAAACTTGTTTTTGTATGAACTTAGTGAACCAAAATCTGATCTTTCTATTTTATTACAGGAGCGTGGCAGAGTAGTAAGGCATTAAACTCGTGTTATATACCAACCATTTAGGATAAAACACGTTCCTTAATCTTTCTTAATACAATATAAAATATGCAGTTTTCTACACATTACATAACAACGTTCAGAGTTATTTTTGGTGTCTTTTGAACAGGTATCAGACACCGTGGTTGAGCCATACAACGCCACCCTTTCCGTCCATCAACTTGTTGAGAACACTGATGAGACTTTCTGTATCGACAACGAGGCTCTCTACGACATCTGCTTCCGTACCCTCAAGCTGACCACACCCACATATGGTGACTTGAACCATCTCGTTTCTGCCACCATGTCCGGAGTCACCACCTGTCTCCGATTCCCTGGTCAACTGAATGCCGATCTCCGTAAATTGGCTGTCAACATGGTTCCCTTCCCCCGTCTCCATTTCTTCATGCCTGGTTTCGCTCCTCTTACATCTCGTGGTAGCCAGCAGTACAGGGCTCTTACCGTCCCAGAACTGACCCAACAGATGTTCGATGCCAAGAACATGATGGCTGCCTGTGATCCTCGTCACGGACGTTATCTGACCGTCGCCGCTATATTCCGTGGACGTATGTCTATGAAGGAAGTTGATGAACAGCTCCTGAACGTCCAGAACAAGAACAGCAGTTACTTTGTTGAATGGATTCCCAACAACGTGAAGACCGCTGTCTGTGACATCCCACCACGTGGCCTGAAGATGTCTGCTACCTTCATTGGTAACAGCACCGCCATCCAGGAGCTCTTCAAGCGTATCTCCGAGCAGTTCACCGCTATGTTCCGTCGTAAGGCTTTCTTGCATTGGTACACTGGTGAGGGTATGGACGAGATGGAGTTCACAGAGGCCGAATCCAACATGAACGACTTGGTGTCCGAGTACCAACAGTACCAGGATGCCACCGCTGATGAGGAGGGAGAGTTTGAAGAGGACGACATTGAACAAGAGGACGATTGAAATATTCTTCCTATTGATGAATACAAACTGTCGTTTAACGAACTGACCAAAGATGTACGTTCATGATGTGGTAAATGAAAATAAATTATTCTTTCTCTCTTTCACTTCATCAGTGATGACTCCAATTTCACATGTGCAATATATTTCGATGAAAAGGTATTGAAGTGCTAGAAGGCGCCACCATTAAGTATGGAATCATTCTGTTAACTATCGTTTCTCAGCCTGACCTACTTTCTGTGATAACAACAAAATAAAGACTTAGTGCCTTCTGTATAAAGTGTGCCTTGTAATTCTACTTTTAATCTACAACGTACATTGTGTAAATAGAAGCTACATGATCCATGGTAGTATATGGTGTTTCTTTCACTCGGTAATATGTTTTTTTAATGCGAGCTTTAGAGAAATAACGCGCGAAAGTGAAAGAAATGCCACATAACAACCACAAGTTCTACAACGTTAAAAAGAACTATTCCGGAGTTGAACTGACCAAACCCTTGTCTACGTGTTTTTTTGTTTTTTTGTTTTTTTTTTTTTGCTTACACGTCATCAGCTGGGGCGTAATCACATTAGTTCGGTAAAATGTTGCTAATTAAAATGTAAATTCTGACAATTTCAGAAATACTTAGAAATACCTTAACTCATCGCAAATTCTGTCTAGAAATAAATCGGCTTCTAAGTCTAAAAGGATATAAAGTAAAAAAAATCAAATTATTACAAGAACAATCCTGGGCTACATATTGCGTGTTCTAATTTCCGTTTAATGGCTTTGTTCTACATATAGTTCCCGTGATCAGGAGATATTAGCGGTCTAGAGAATAGTGTAGAGGTCCGGAGACTATCGGTATAGAGAATGGTGTATAGGTCCAGAGACCACCGGTCTAGAGAATGGTGTATAAGTCCAGAGATTACCGGTATAGAGAATGGTGTATAGGTCCAGAGACAACCGGTCTAGAAAATGGTGTACAGGTCCAGAGACTTCCGGTCTAGAGAATGGTGTTTAAGTCCAGAGACTTCCGGTATAGAGAATGGTGTATAGGTCCAGAGACTACCGGTCTAGAGAATGATGTATAGGTCCAGTGATTATCGGTCCTGAGAATGGTGTATAGGTCCAGAGACTATCGGCCTAGAGAATGGTATATAGGTCCAGAGACTACCGGTCTAGAGAATGGTGTATAGGTCCAGAGACTATCGGTCTACAGAATGGTGTATAGGTCCAGAGACTACCGGTCTAGAGAATGGTGTTTAGGTCCAGAGATTACAGGTCTAGAGAAAGGTGTATAGGTCTAGAGACTACCGGTCTACAGAATGGTGTAAAGGTCCAGAGACTACCAGTCTAAAGAATGATGTATAGGTCTAGAGACTACCGGTCTAGAGAATGGTGTAAAGGTCCAGAGACTACCAGTCTAAAGAATGGTGTATAGGTCCAGAGACTTCCGGTCTAGAGAATGGTGTAAAGGTCCAGAGACTACCAGTCTAAAGAATGGTGTATAGGTCCAGAGACTTCCGGTCTAGAGAATGGTGTATAGGTCCAGAGACTATCGGTCTAGAGAATGGTATATAGGTCCAGAGATTATCGGTATAGAGAATAGTGTATAGGTCCAGAGACTATCGGTATAGAAAATGGTGTATAGGTCCAGAGACTATCGGTATAAAGAATGGTGTATAGGTCCAGATTCTACCGGTCTAGAGAATGGTGTATAGGTCCAGAGATTATCGGTATAGAGAATAGTGTATAGGTCCAGAGACTATCGGTATAGAGAATAGTGTATAGGTCCAGAGACTATCGGTATAGAGAATGGTGCACAGGTCCAGAGACTATCGGTATAGAGAATGGTATATAGGTCCAGAGACTATCGGTCTAGAGAATGGTATATAGGTCCAGAGACTATCGGTCTAGAGAATGGTATATAGGTCCAGAGACTATCGGTCTAGAGAATGGTGTATAGGTCCAGAGACTATCGGTATAAAGAATGGTATATAGGTCCAGAGACTATCGGTCTAGAGAATGGTATATAGGTCCAGAGACTATCGGTCTAGAGAATGGTATATAGTTCCAGAGACTATCGGTATAGAAAATGGTATATAGGTCCAGAGACTATCGGTATAGAGAATAGTGTATAGGTCCAGAGACTACCGGTCTAGAGAATGGTATATAGGTCCAGAGACTATCGGTCTAGAGAATGGTATATAGTTCCAGAGACTATCGGTATAGAGAATAGTGTATAGGTCCAGAGACTATCGGTATAGAGAATGGTGCACAGGTCCAGAGACTATCGGTATAGAAAATGGTATATAGGTCCAGAGACTATCGGTATAGAGAATGGTGTATAGGTCCAGAGACTATCGGTCTACAGAATGGTGTATAGGTCCAGAGACTACCGGTCTAGAGAATGGTGTTTAGGTCCAGAGATTACAGGTCTAGAGAAAGGTGTATAGGTCTAGAGACTACCGGTCTACAGAATGGTGTAAAGGTCCAGAGACTACCAGTCTAAAGAATGATGTATAGGTCCAGAGACTATCGGTCTAGAGAATGGTATATAGTTCCAGAGACTATCGGTATAGAAAATGGTATATAGGTCCAGAGACTATCGGTCTAGAGAATGGTGTATAGGTCCAGAGACTATCGGTCTAGAGAATGGTGTATAGGTCCAGAGACTATCGGTATAGAGAATGGTGTATAGGTCCAGAGATTATTGGTATAGAGAATGGTGTATAGGTCCAGAGACTATCGAGAGATTATAGAGAATGGTGTATCCAGAGACTAGGTCCAGAGACTATCGGTCTAGAGAATGGTGTATAGGTCCAGAGATTATTGGTATAGAGAATAGTGTATAGGTCCAGAGACTATCGGTATAGAAAATGGTGTATAGGTCCAGAGACTATCGGTCTAGAGAATGGTATATAGGTCCAGAGACTATCGGTATAGAGAATGGTGTATAGGTCCAGAGACTATCGGTATAGAGAATGGTGTATAGGTCCAGAGACTATCGGTATAGAGAATGGTATACAGGTCCAGAGACTATCGGTCTAGAGAATGGTGTATAGGTCCAGAGACTATCGGTATAGAGAATGGTGTATAGGTCCAGAGACTATCGGTATAGAGAATGGTGTATAGGTCCAGAGACTATCGGTCTAGAGAATGGTGTATAGGTCCAGAGATTATTGGTATAGAAAATGGTATATAGGTCCAGAGACTATCGGTATAGAGAATGGTGTATAGGTCCAGAGACTATCGGTATAGAGAATGGTGTATAGGTCCAGAGACTATCGGTCTAGAGAATGGTGTATAGGTCCAGAGATTATTGGTATAGAGAATGGTGTATAGGTCCAGAGACTATCGGTATAGAAAATGGTGTATAGGTCCAGAGACTATCGGTATAGAGAATGGTGCACAGGTCCAGAGACTATCGGTATAGAGAATGGTATATAGGTCCAGAGACTATCGGTATAGAGAATGGTGTATAGGTCCAGAGACTATCGGTATAGAGAATGGTGTATAGGTCCAGAGACTATCGGTATAGAAAATGGTATATAGGTCCAGAGACTATCGGTCTAGAGAATGATGTATAGGTCCAGAGTAAAGTTCCTTTTTTATTATTTTTATTATGCGTTTTCAAATCAATTTAGAGTTATGAAATAAGTGACAGGAAACGCAAACATTGACGTGACCGATTTAGGCGGGAAACCATTTTTCTTACAGATGTAAGTGTTTTGTGCGCATGCGTTATCATATATGACGCCAAAATGTACATATCCAGAGTACTTTCAGAATATTTTGTTGTCATGGTGGTATTGACAGTAGGAATTGGGCAACAGGCAGAGCCTATGAAAGCCCTCTCCTTACAGTGCATAAGCAAGTATACAGACACATCAATCAAAATTAGAGATAACAGATAATAATAATATTAGGAATAAGAATGTAGAAGATAGATTCAAATGGATGATTATATAACCGAAATGCAAAAAAGGCATCACCATCGTTTGTATTATAGGGTTCCAGAACAGTAACATAAACTAAAAAATACAAATTAGGTATCACAAGATATTACAAGACTGGGTCAAAATATGTCCATTTGTGGTGGGACAGGCTGCAGGTTCAAACAGTCCATATGACGCCAAAATGTACATATCCAGAGGGTTGATCAACAGATAAGGATTTCCATTATATGATTATTAATCAACCTCTTTAGGCGCATATTTCAGTGAAAACCAACTGTCATTGTCCATATGAAGTAATATCGTTTTGCCGTAATGTTGCTTTCCGTTTTGTTATTCTGTAACAAAACGGACTGTAGATAATTTCCTTTAAAAGACAACAACAGTTACGAGTGATAATTCTGGACAGAAGCTTCATTTATTCACGACAAACATGAAGGCTAGACACTACATCGAAAACACTAGTATTACAGATGATTTATCTGATATAATACCGTATCATTACAATACTCACTTTATACTATTCCAGCAGTTTCATGTTTACACCATTGTTTAGTTCTCAAAACGTATCGCAGGTTGACAACATGTAAACGTCTTCTTTAACGTAAATGTATATACGGAACTGCTGCCTGACACGACAAGCTTTTAACCAGAATCACTTTGATATGTTAAATGAAATTATATGTAATTATTGTGTGGTCCCTCAGACGAATGATACTCTAGAATGTCTGGTGTTGTTCTGTATCTGACATTTAACTAATCTCCAGGTGTGGAGATCGCACGTGATTTCGCTCCCTCCTCTGCCACAGCCTATACATTCGGTCACTGATACCACTCTTTCCTTGTTAATAATTGATGACACTCGGTCGACTGACTTTCATAATTGCGTCTTCAATTTGAAATGTAACCAGTAGATAAATTCCCTGGGAAAATCACAGACCAGTAACTTTCCTCCGCCAGGCAAACTAGGAAAATGTGATCTGTCGATATTAAGTTTCTAATGGACATTGGTTTTAAGCCTACAAATTGTCATACATATATAAGCTTCTTCCGTAATTCTTATTTTAATTCTTGTAGTTTGAATTGTTCTTTCAAAATTATCAATTTTGAAACAAGAAAATAGTCCATCAATTATAAGAGCCAATGAAATGTCGCTATCAGTGCGGAAGAATCTGTAGACGGATGTATAAATACAAGACATCATTCGGTGTGTTATATCTGAAGAAGACAGCGCTAGGATAAGCACGTGATACAAGTCAGCCATCATGAGAGAAATAGTTCATCTTCAAGCCGGCCAGTGCGGGAACCAGATTGGCGCCAAGGTAGGCTGATGCTCGTTAC